CTATTTATATATATTCTTTATCCAGAAATATCGCATTAAATTATACCAATAGATGTGTCTTAAAGAAGACTATTAGTTTTTAACCCATTTATAGTTTTCTCTTTATTTTATTTCATTTTATTTTATTATTTGTTCGTATATATATATATTAAAATATATAACATGCCTTTTTATCACCTGAAAAGCTCCAGTGGCTCCTGAAAAGAACGATTTCCTCCGTAGCAACACGACATCAGTGCAACTCAATTTGAAAAACTGGATGGATGATGGCTGTCCAATATCTCATCTCGTTATCCAATACAAACCACAGGGGCAGAAGGAATGGATACTTGTCTCAAATCACATCTTAACAGATCAAGAGATGCTGATGATAGCTGATCTCAGTCCAGGAACATGGCATGATTTACTGGTCACTGCTCATAGTGATGCTGGGACAACTGATGCAGAATATAGATTTGCCACATTAACACTTACTGGAGGTGAGTAATATAAGTATTTAAAGTGAATTTTTCTTTAAAAGAAATTATTTCTTATTTTACAAGTAGGAAAATTTGGGATTACATAGAGTATATTTGAAGAAACAAAAATCATTCACAAACGGTATATTTATATTTCGGTTAATCACTGTAGATTAAAATAATACTCTCGCCAGACATAAATATACTCTTTTCTGGAGACAATATTTGTCCTGAAGTAATAGAGTACAGAGATATCTTAGCTTCTACTTCAAATGCTATTATCAGTGTCTGAATAAACAATTCCTGTTTTGTTTCCCGTGTCACAAATTCTCTTTTTCTACGTTCTCTATGATTTATCTTCATTTTAATTTTATTTTCCCTATCGTTCTTATTCCCACCATCCATCTCAAATTTAGTCTTCGTTCTCTCTATCTCTATTTTCTCTCAACTGCTCTTTCATCTCTATGTAATTTTTTTAAAATTTTTTTTCACTCTCAAAGTGTTAAAAAGTTTTATTTTCATGATATTTTCGATTGCGAATATTTAATTTTAAAAAATATGCATATAATGATTGTTTTTCTAAAATTTAAATTTTAAAATCTTATTTTATAATTTGTGAAGGCCTTTTTCCAAATCCATTTGAAATCTAACAAGAATGATTTATTATAAATTTTTATCTAAAATGTGTGCTAACATCTTAGAGTTTAATTTAATGTGTCTGTAACAGTATAAAATAAAGCAAATTAATAAAAAGATAAAATTTAATTTAATCTTTTTTTCTTCTTCTCTCCAAGTAAGTCTGAAATTTAAAATTCATTATATTTCAAATAAAAAAAAAAAAAAAAAAAAAAAAAAAAAAAAAAAAAACGAAAACGAAAATGGTTTTTTGAAACACTGTGTTACTAAAAATTACTTATAATTTAATTTCAAATATGTGTAATATTTTGAATATTGAATACATCGTCTTTCATTTTCAGTTAATGATTATTCTGATAAAAGCATGTCAGAAATACCACAATTTAAAAAAAATTATTCTAATTTAAATATGTTTGAACTATAACACATTTATTTAGACAGCTAATAAAAAAAGCAATAATTGCAATAAATCGATCATTAAAAGAAAAAAACGATGAAAGATTAAATGTAGTTTAAAAATTATATATTGTGAATCGCTTAATTTCGAGAAGAGAAATCAAGTTGAGAAACTCTGTCACAAAATATATAAAGAGTAAATGTTTCACATTTTCTTCATGTTAAAATTAAGCAACGATCAGTTTTTCTTACGTTTATGTAGAAAAAAGAAGTTATTTGTATAAAAGGAATCAAACTTGCTCAGTTAAGTTTTTTTATTTTATTTGTTTATTTATTTATTTATTTACATATTTATTTATTTTTAGACCACAAACTTTTAAGTAATTTAATTTTGGAAAATTTCAATTATTTTGGTAAGGAAGGAACTATGAAATGTTTTGATTAGTGATTCAAAGATGGCAGCACCAAAAATACAGAAAGTTCCCAGCAAAAAATAATTTGAACAGAATGATTGAGAGGAAGAAATTCTTATCAACATATATGAGTCTATTTTATTTAAATGTCACTATTCTACATGTAAACTGGTAGATAAAGGGAAAAAAAAACATTTTTTTCTATTATTGAGTTAAGATTTCGTTTTATAGCTATTATCATTTAGTACTATTATGACGTTATGAAACTATTATTTAATAATTACTCAAAATGAAATAAACTTTAGTCATAAAAATAGAAAATCCATATTAGTGAGCAAAGTAAATAACTGAAAATAGTGATTTGTTTGTTAAGATAAGAACATTTATAAAAAAATTCTACGTTCTTTAAAAAAAAAAAAAAATTAATTTGTGCATTTATTTTTATTGCAGCAACTGTGCCTCCACTAAGTGTCACCCGCCATCATCACTTCTTTGAAGATCCCACTATATTGGTTCCTATTGTGTGTGCGGTTGTGGTTCTCATTGTGATCATCAGCGTAACGGCCTTTGTGGTCGTCTGGAAGAGAAGAGATCCTGCAGGGGAAGCACCCTCCGACATTTGTAAGTCCAAAGTGCGTTCTTTCGCCTCTATATTCACTGAACATTTTCTCTCTAGAAAGAATAAAGATATATTTCTTCTATCTAATCTTGTACTAATTCAGGGGGGGGGGAGAAAATTATAGCTTCGAACATTTTATAAGACAAAATTGCAATTTTTCTTTTCTTTTTTTCATTTATAATTGTTTATTGGATAGTTCCTTTTACGAAAGAAAATTTTAATTTGTTATAAATTTATTATTAGAGCTCTTCAGAAGTAACTAACTATTGCATTACGTAACAATAGAGGTTGTACAACTAATATTGCTGTTTAGAACAAGAAAATTAGAATTAGTATTTCTAAAATTTGGAATAATTTTAAGAAAAATATTAAAATTCTTATCATAATTATTGTTATAATAATTCAAACAAAATGCACTCTTTTTAAAAAACAACATTGACATTTCATTTGAAATTCAAGTTTAGTGCCCTGCCTCTATCAGGCATTTACCATGGAATTCTTTCCTAGTAATGAGTGCTACTTCATTTTTGGGGACAGAAGTTTTGTAGAGCATACCATGTCAAAAGCGTATTTCTTAAAGATTTTAAATTTATCGGAATATAATTCTTGGAACAAGAGCTTTTGTAAAGAAACAGTCGTCATAAGGCTTAATCAGACAGAAATGAAAATTAAAAAAAATAAATAAAATAAATTTAAATAAAATACAATTTTGAAAAAATAAATAAATAAAGTGCTTACTAAAATATAATATACAGATTTTGCGTAGAATTTGTCTTGAAACTCTAACCTTATTTTTTACTCCTTAACGACATTGTTGTGAAATTTTCCCACGTACGCTATGTAGCACAATTAGCGTTAAAGTTAAAATTAACTGCATCGAGGGAGAATAGCGATANATAATTTAAATAAAAATATTAAAATTCTTATCATAATTATTGTTATAATGATTCAAAAAAATGCATTCTTTTTAAAAAACAACATTAAAATTTCATTTGAAATTCAAGTTTAGTGCCCTGCCTCTATCAGGCATTTACCTTGGAATTCTTTCTTAGTAATGAGTGCTACTTCATTTTTGGTGACAGAAGTTTTGTAGAGCATACCATGTCAAGAGCGTATTTTCAAAGATTTTAAATTTATCGGAATATAATTCTTGGAACAAGAGCTTTTGTAAAGAAACAGTCGTCATTAGGCATAATCAGACAGAAATGAAAATTTAAAAAAATAAATAAAATAAATTTAAATAAAATACAATTTTAAAAAAATAAATAAATAAAATACAATTTTAAAAAAATAAATAAATAAAGTGCTTACTAAAATATAATATAAAGATTTTGCGTAGAATTTGTCTTGAAACTCTAACCTTATTTTTTACTCCTTAACGACATTGTTGTGAAATTTTCCCACGTACGCTATGTAGCACAATTAGCGTTAAAGTTAAAATTAACTGCATCGAGGGAGAATAGCGATATGAAAAATTTCTTTATTTTTAAATTTAGTGGAAACAATTTCTCAAATAATAATGCCATCTTATTGATTTTTATACAAAATTTTCTTTGTCAAAACCCGTAAAATCCTACTACTCAAATTTTGGAAACTATTTTACCAAAACAAACAATTTTACCAAATTAATGCAATTATACTGTCATACATAGTCATAGATTTTGATGAACGTATGTTTTTGAACTAATGCTTACTATTATAAACAAGGTAAAATCAAAATATTGTTCGAAATAAATTAATATGGTTACATCTAATTTTGTTTGTATCTTCAAGAACTAATATTATATAGATTTTTAGGTAAAAAAAGGAAGAAATGTTGGTTAAAAGAGCAATTAAGTACAGACTATTTATCAAAAATATTGGAATTAAATTTTCAAATTTCTTTCTTTCATTTTAACCATACAACCGACTGAACCTTTAAAAATTATTATCAGTAAAATAATTTTTTTTTTCAAATTTTTTTTCACTTACTGTTTATGGAATCTCGTCTACTCAGATTTCTATGAACTAAAAATGCTATTTGCTTAAATACCCCATAATTAGCTTAGAAACTTAATTTTTCTTTAATATGTTGGAAATGACAAGCATAATTTTTTTCCCTTTATAGTAGGAATTTTTTTTCTCCAAAATGTCCCCACCCTTGCCCTAGAATTTACTTGAAGTCGTACATTTTTTGCTTAAAACTTTCCCAAGCATCTATTCCATATTACAATTGTTCTTCAATGAAAAAAAAAATATAGCTGCAGATTTTTTACTAAAAAATCTGTAAGGACAAAATAAAACATCAAAAAACAGCATTTATTGGAGCTCGATTAGAGGTAAATCCTTCTTGTTGCCAGATGGCGTTTTATAAAAATAATTTTGGAATTCTTGCTTACTGATAGCATTCGATAAATGTAGTTTTGCTACAATATATCTCCATGAAATACAATAAAATAGAAACATCATTCAATAACGGGTTACATTCATCCAGTAATAGAATATACTCGAATTTTTTATTTTAATTAAAATTGTCATGAATTATACTGATGACTAAGAGGTAATTTTTTATAAGTGGGCTCCAAAGACCAGTTCTCATTGATTAATTTTTCCAAAATTTATTAATTATTTTTTAAAAATTAAATATTTTTTTTATGTGCTGAAATTTTGGATAGTTCGAATTAAAAAAAATTCTTAATTAATTTATAAAAATAAGATTATATATATGCTTTTTCGAGTCTAACTAATATATTGATTCTTTTGTGTAATAATTTTTTTTTTTAATGTTTCCCGATATGTGCTTTACATGTTTTAAGATTTTTCATTTGATGGTAGAGCAATATACAGAAACATTTCATTTTCCACATAGTGTTCGCGTTGTTTTACACTAAAAACGCTCTTAAATACATTATCCCGAAAATCTTATCATCATATTGCCCTTAGTCTTTCACTTCATGAAAAAAAAAATATATATATATATATATGAAATTCATTAAATTATCAACGTTTACCATTTAAAATTGTCCGCCGCCATGATATTGTTACAAATACATATTGATATACAATTCTTTCTTTAATGTACAATAATTTTCTGAACAGTAAAGTTGCTGATTTAAAGATTTGTACTACATTATTTTATAGTGCAATTTGTTTTGTTTCAAGCTACTTATTCGCTTTGTCATTTAATAGGTGAAATAAAAAACTTAGCATGATTTTGAGTTAGTGCTGCCGTCTATACGTTGAAGTTGAAAGCTTTCCTTGTCTTGACAAATTTACTTCTGTTTTTAAGTATATACTAACTATGGTATAATTATTTCAGTTTTCTACAGATGCAATTTTTTCACACTACATATAATAAGTAGAAATATTTTTTTTTACAATATAAAAAACCCCTCTTGGATTAAGTTTCAAATCACTTTTAAAATTGAAATGCTTAAATGACACAATTAAATAGTAATTGATATTTTATAGTATAAGTTTTCCAAGCATATATTAGAAAACCAGATAGTTAATAATGATAACTTAATAATTTGGCATTAAAAAGGATGTGCTTTAATTGCATAAAATGCTGCATACAGTAATGTTTATGCAGTTATAGAATAAAATTATTGAATATAATGTTGGAATAATTATGGAAAACATTGTAAAATATATGCAATGCAAAGACAAATTATTCTAAATGACAGAGTAACAAAAGGTAACCTTTCCATTTAGCATATTATCATAATATATTACGGTATATTAAAGGCAATATTCGTTAAAATATACTCCTTCCTCATTGTAGTACATACCTACTCCCTCTGATAGTAAAAAAGGTATATAAATTGTTCTGATTACTTAAATTCGTTAGCTCTTTGGATTATATTTTTCAACGAGTCATAAATAAAGCATTCATTTGGATTTAATATAATATTTTTATTAATTAAAAATTGTAATTAGTTTTAAGCATATTATTTTTTTAGACCATCAAACTGAAAAATGAAAGTGAATTTGAATGCGAAGATTTTTTGAAAGTAAATTAAAATTTTCTTAAAAGTTTATAACAAGTTTTTATATCTATTTCATTTCTCAATTGAATTAATTTACGCTTATCTTTTTTTTATTAGAATTTTCAGACGCGTGTGTATAGTTTGGTGCTGCCATCTAGAAGCAAAAAGTTAAACAATATTAAAATTAAATTTAATTTTTCGTTAAATATTTTTCTAACCTCATTTGTTGAATATAATTTTTACAATATGTTAAATAAATGTTATACGATGATTAAATTTCAAAATCATGCATTAATAAAATCATCGATTTTTTTAAAATTATTTTTTTACAGTAATAACTAAATTTAAATTAGTATATATCGATTAAAATGTTATAGGATAATACGTTAATGTGGACGTCTATAAGAGTTAAATAATTTTTAGGTTATGAAAGTGGGGTAAAGTCTTATTTAACCGAAATATAACATCAATATATTATTATTAAATGCAGTTAGTAAAATCAACTGCTCATTCAATGTTATCAGCAATTCAAGCCAAAAATGATTATGATTTTATTGTGATTACTGTGTGTTTCCAGTTATCTTTTTGTGCTTGGAATATTTTAGGGAAAAAAGTAACGCTTGTGCTAATTTACTAAAGGTGCTAAACTTCAATAGAATTAAGAGACGATAGAAATTTCCTCTCGCTGAGAGCAAAAACTTTTAATAAAATTGATTCAAGTTAATGAAATAATCAACTCAATAAAATGTTGAAATTTATTTTGTCGTATACAAAGAATTATCATAGAATTATCATAATTGTTTAATCGGAATTCATTTTTACAACCGTAATTACGAAAATTGTCGACAATTTGAAATCAACTTTAGAATTGAAAAATTTTCTTGCTATTACGGTCATTAAAAGATATAGATTAATTGAAAAATTATTGAAAAATTACCGTAAAAATATTTTAAAAACTTTCTTTTAGTAGCCCACTTATTAAAAATAGCCTCGTAGTTATCAGGATTAGACATAACAATTTTATATAAAAACAA